CTGCTGTGTGGAGGTATTTGTACTTGTATCTCTATCTCGCCTCACCATCACTAACTGCTATGCTTTCTGTTCAGTTTAGTTGTCTGCTTTTTTGTGTGTTTGTATTTACAGCTGGTGAAAATAAGTTTGCATTTATGAAAGGATAACCTCTGAGCATCTGTTAATGGGATGGGGGCCACACTAAATTGTGAGGATTCAGAAAAGAATGAAATATGTTCATGGTCTCAAGGGACTTACCATCTAGGGAACAAGTCAAATAAACAAATAGAGTGATGTGTGTAAGGAATTATGGGCATGATGAGAAGAGATGCCATGGTGCCTACTGGGCGATGTAGTAGGGACTAGTGTAGACTAGTCTTTTTAGAAAAGGTTAGATTTGGGTTGAACCTGAAAGATAAATAGTAATTCATTCAGCAGACAAAAAGAGAAGGAAAATTGCAGACAGTAGTAATAGGTGCAAAGGCTCGAAAATGTGGAAGACATGGTGAGTTTGGGGAAGTACAAATGATTTTGAAATGGTTGAAAAACAGGCAGGGTTGGTCTCCAAGCATAGCAGCTAAATATTAGCCCTGAGACCAGAGCATAGATGGGAAGGAAATGTATCTGGTAAAAATAAGTTAGGGTTATATCACAAAGAGTCTTGAATGCCAGACGAAAGATCTGGACTTTCATGTGTGTGTGTGTGTGTGTGTGTGTGTGTGTGTTGGAAAGGTTGATATTTACATTGAAGAATTTTAAATAAATGAATAAAAAATCAGAGTTGTGCTCCATCAAGAGCATTTTCATCAATCCTGACCAGTTCATTTTATTCTACCTAATATATATATTTTTTCTTTAAGCAGATGGTCCTGGAATGTCCTTGCTGGATGCCATCTTGTTTAGTTTAACCCCCTCCTCTTTGTTATTTTAGCCTAAACCCAGGTAATCAAGGCCAAGATTTTAATTGTCTCCAGCATCAGGCAGAATAGGGCTGGTGGTTATTTTAAAAGGCCCCTGGCTGCTTGAGTGAGAGAGAAAACCAATGGGTTTTGTGCCCAGGAGTATTTCCAGCCTTTGTGCTTCCTGCTCAGCATTTCTGGGGCACTTTGCAACAGGCTTTGTAAAGATTTAGTTGAAAATCAACTATGGATTCTTCCCTAATTGACTTGGCCAGGCTTAATCTGTTATTGGTCAAGCCAAGCTGGCTTCTATTATGCAGTGCACTGAGGATTTCCGGCGTTGCTCTTATCCTAATGGAGGCTGGCTGTTTTTAGAAGCAAATCTTGGTGTTGGTGAAGGCCGCTATCATTGTGTCCTCTGAACTGAATCCAGAAGGACGCCTATCTGATATAGCATTTAGACCTTTGACTACAAAGAGTGAATCTTGAATTTGGCATTTATATGCTAGAAGGTTGTGTTTTGGTTTTTTTTGGTTTTTGTTTTGTTTTTTTGTTTTGTTTTGTTTTTCTCCCTAAGAGATAAAACAAAACTTCCTATTTGTTTCTGCCTCTTTGTGTTGATTTGTGGAAATGCTTAGGGTACCCAGTCCAAGGAGGCAAAGGGACATCTTCAGAGAGTGGCTTCTTTTGGCCCAGGAGACCGAGGAGTGACCTCAGAAGACAGGGCAGGGCTGTCCTATCACTGTAGGCCCAGCACCTCTGGCCTTTGCTGAACCCCCTCCCTTGAGGTTGTCCAGTCCTTAACACATAGATTTACATGGCTGGGGAAAGAGAATAGACATTGTGTTGTAGGGTTGGGATAATTTGTGAGCACTATTAGCATTGAACCATCACTGGAAGTTATTTGTGTCAACAGAAGAGGGACAGAAGAGAGCCTGTGTCTAGAGAGTTTATGGAGATAGAAAAGTAGACCATCAGGGCAAGCCCAGAGGAGAAAGCTCACGTCTGCCTCTGGAGTTCATGTGAACTAAGGAGAGGAGTGGAGAGTCCCATTTTTCCTATGATCCTGGAAGGATGTTAGATTTCCTCGAGCCATTTGCATGAGTGTGATGACGGCATGCTGTATATATTTATGGTCACTCAGAAGTAACTTGCCCCTTCCCCACCCCTATCAGTCACTCCGACAAACCCTTGCTGGTGCTTTGAAGAGTTTTGTACAGTTTTGCTGGAGGAAGTCACTTATGGAAAGAACATTTACACTATAGAGCTTGCCATAGAATCAAGATCAACTTAGAACTCTATAAAGAAAGATATAGTTATATGTATATACATAAACATAGACAGTTATTTTATAGGTTTTAGAAAGCCAGTCTAACATCTGATTTGCATTCCTTATTAATTCCTTTCCCCTTAACTTCCTTTGCCCTCATCTGCACTCCCGACTCTAAGTGAATTCCTCAGCAATGCCTCATTTAAGAGATGCTATAGACCAGTGGTTCTCAACCTTGGCTGCACATTAGAATCACCTGGGAATCTTTTTAAAATCCTGATTTCTGGGCCTCATCCTCCGGAAATCCTGTTTCTTTGTTACTAATGTGGCCCCACCCCATAACAAAGAAATAGAATTTCCGGAGGATGAGGCCCAGAAATCAGGATTTTAAAAAGATTCCCAGGTGATTCTAATGTGCAGCCAAGGTTGAGAACCACTGCTATAGACCCTGCATTTGAACTGCCTCCCAGAGCTTGATTTTTAAGATTTCTCCTCCACAACCGCTCCCCAGTCCCCTAAGACCTCCCAGTTAGCCAGGCCAACATTCCATGGCCCAACCTTGACAAACCTGTGCCTTCTGGTGCATCTTGCCACCAACTGGCACCTGTCAATCTCCTAGAACCTGCTGAGCACCCATTGGGCATCAAGGACAATGGCAGGGATAGGGCTGTATCAGAGCAATAACACACATTGTGGGCCCAAGCGAACTGCTGGTTCAAAAGCAGTTGTGCAAATGTTCCCCATGTGTTCTCTTTCTTGAAACTTTTGCTGTGATGAGGGCTATCGCTCTGTGAACTTTTATTTTTTAGTTTTGAATCCCAGTTTTTCATTCTTTATTTGAATATTCTAGAATCTTGAAGCTTGTCCAAGAGAATGAGAATCATGGCACTATAGCAAATCAGACCTGAAGGGAATTTAAACTATTATCAATTTATCAATGAAGATGCTGAAGTCCATTGAAACAGAGAATTGTCCAAGAGCATACAGCCAGTGATATCCAGGACTAGCAGTCCAGCCTTCTAACTTTTGTTTAGTGCTTTTACCTTAAGTTTGTGCTCATCTAGCATAGAAGTATGCAGTATGCATCACAGCCATCTGTATGTATTGATATTTATTCCAATTAGAGTAAAATTGCACATAACAGGAAGCATTATTGAGTAATTAAGTGGCTGACATTGTTCTAAGCACTTTATATATGCAATAACATTTACCCTTATGACAACCCCATTAGGTGGACCTTATTATTATTATCAATTTACATTAGAAATACCTGAGACATGGAGAAGTTAAATAACTTGCCCTTAGTATATAGGGAAGTCCTATTAGATTGTAATTTTCTGGCACTGTGTTTGCATCAGTAAATATTTACTGAGCATCTGGAATGGATGAAGCCCTTTCTAGTGGGAAATAAAGACCTGTGAGTAGCTCCATCCCAATAGCATACAGTGATGGCTGCAACAGGCATGTACAAGGAGTGGGCATTGGAATGGTCTTGGGTATGCATAGGAGTTTGCTAGCTTGAGAATGAATGAATGCTTATTGTGCACCAATGGATAATATGTTCAGGGGAAAATCAGGAGGGCGAGAAGTTCGGGGTGCTAAAAGGCAGAAGCATGGTGGTTGTGGTGGAGATGTTGGTAGACAGGGCTAGAGAGGCAGGTTGGGAGCCAACTGTGAAGTACCAGCATTCCAAGATAAGTAATCTGGATTATATCCAGTAAACAGAGGGGAGCCAAGGGAAATTTTTATGAGTGGGGAAGTGACAGAATCAGGACCCATGAGACTACAGAAGCATAGAACAACTGGGGACAAGGACACAGTGAGGAGACTGATGCAGTTGTCCAGGTGGAAATGAGGGCCTGGACTCCTAACAGCAACATCTGATGGGCACAGGCTGCTTCCGCTTGCTTTTCATGCTGCTACTGGGGCTTGGAATGCTTTCTTTCATCCAGTCTTGCTGGAACTGCAGGCCTATCTTTGAAGGCGAAGTGTAGGTGTTTGATACGGAGAGTCTCCTTAGAACAGACATGCACGCTCCCTCCTTTGTGCTCTGCTGTCTCTGTACATTCTTCTTCCTCCCTCGGCACACATAAAGTCGTGTTGCACGTCTTTGTGTACATTTCTCTTTTCTGCTTACACCCAGCTCCTTGAAGGCAGAACCAGACCTCTGCCTCCTTAAATACTTGGCACAGTGCCTGACATTCAGTGAACTCTCAATAAATGTGAGATGAATGAATAAACTTACTAAATAAAGGCAGCGACTATGGATATGGAAAGAACAGGCCAAATTTGGGAGATGATTTTTTAAAAGTTACATCAGGGTTTGGAAAGCCATGGCCCATGGGCCAACCCCAGCCCCCTTCTCTACTACTTTTGTAAATAAAGTTTTGTGGGAACACAACCAAGCTCATCTGTCTACGTTTTGTCTGTAGCTGCTTTCATGCTACAATGGCAGAGTTAATTCATTGTGACAAGACCAGATGGCCTGCAAATGCAAAACTGTTTACTCTCTGGACCTTTGCTGTTAAAGTTTGTCACCTCTAAGTTAAGTGACCAGGATCAGTGAATGGAAAAAAAAAGGGGGGGGGCGGTGTCGGAGAGTTAAAAGTCAAGACTTTTCCTTTTCTCTTATCTAGTACAGCACTTGGATCCCGGGTGATAGCACTGACCAGTAGGCCTGCAGGGACTGAGAAGGCAATCCCCAGGATTGTGGGGCACGAGGAAAGGGAACCTAAGAGAGCGAGGTAGAAAGAGACTGTATAAGGAACACCAGGGCCGTGAGTTACAAGGCAGAGTTGATCTACGTCCTGTTTCTCCCTGGTGAAGTTTCTTGTGCTTGTCCTCTCTTTTAGTCATCCAGTTTGGCTTTGTTACCCTCTTTGTGGCCTCCTTTCCTCTGGCACCTGTGTTTGCCCTCCTCAACAATGTCATTGAAGTGCGGCTGGATGCAAAGAAGTTTGTCACGGAGCTGAGACGGCCAGATGCTGTGAGAACCAAAGATATCGGTATGTCCCCTGTTTAGAGGCGGTAGAACCCCCCCCACCACCACCACCTTCTCACTGTGTTGGGAACCCATAAGGTTGGGGAAGCCCTTGCCTCTTCACCCCTTTGAGCTCCTCATCCTCATCCTCAGATCTTCAGGTACTGGGAGGCTTTCAGAGGCTATGTTTTCCACCCCAGTTGCACCCCTGGTTTCTAGACAGGGGAGTACCTGAACCTCTCCAGATAAGCCCACTCCTAGGGGCCCAGTAACCCTTCCCCAGTAACATTCCTGCAGAGCATCACCCTGAGCTGCAAGGTTGTCATCACTGGGCCAAGGGCAGGAGTAAGCCAGATGCCTTCCATTCTGTCTTACAGGGATTTGGTTTGACATTCTCTCCGGAATCGGCAAGTTCTCCGTTATCAGCAATGTAAGTGCTTACATTCATGACACCCTAACTCTGTGGGAAGGGCATTCCTGAGGATCTCAGGTTTTACAAGCAGGACACCAGTCCTTGTCACCTCTCAGTCTTTTCCATTTGGAGCTTTATTTAAGCTAGGCCCCTGGTTAATAGTGTGTACAAACCTTCTAACTCATCATGCTGTTGCCAGAACCATGCCACTTAATTGTTAATTTCATTAAGAGAAAGGAGGGTAATTACCCACCACAATGCAAAACTTCTCCTTAAGAGGCAAAATCAGATCTTTGCTCAGAGCCAAGAATAATGAGGAAAGAATTCCACGTATCTATCCATCTCTTTCCTTTCTTTTCTACTCCTGAGCTAAACAATACCTGGAGCATTGCCCAGGCTGCAATTCCTAATTACGGTTCCTCCAGGTTGTCAATATGAAGTCTTAATTATCCCCATGGCACTGCGTGGGTGAAGATAGGACATGGAAGAAGAGGGGTCCTACCTGTTGTGACTTCCTTAATTGCCTTGCCAGACATGTCCACATTTCAAAGGAAATCCTTCTGGGCCCAAGCCAACAGCTCCTTTTGCTTCTGCCTTCTGTAAGGATGGTGACCAGGCAGGGCCTCCTCTTCCATCTCTCAAGAAAATATCAGCCAGCTTAGTGAACACTAAGAAACCCATAGCCTATTTGTAAGAGAAACGTTGATCCTAGGTGTGACCTGATTCCATATCAAGAACACGTGAACTGGCTGGAGAGGTGTGAGGGGAGGCAGAGAGAATCAACTCATTGCATTTTGAATGTTTGATGTAAGAAACACACATTTTGAGAAATAAGGTGCAATTTGGAAAATAGATCAATAACTACTTTGGAGTTGTGTCTACTAAAGAGGAGGCCCTGAGTACTAAGCACTTTCTACCTATACAGTACAAGGAAAGAAGTTTTACTTTACTGACCTCTCTAAGACTTTTTCACTTATCTTTGAAAATGGGAAAGAATAAGAGTACCCACCAAACAGGATCATTCTGGAAGTTAAACGAGATGATAAAGGGACTGATAGCCAGTGCTCAGTAAGTGTAGCTGTGCTTGTTATAAGTAGGTCACTCATTCTCAAATATGGTTATGACCATTCACACTCATATGTACATTGAGAAAACAATGCCTAAACTACATTTTTAAAAAGGGCTTTAATTGTTGATGTGGAATATAGTATAAACACTTGCCAAAAGAATTTAAGATTTTCCTTGCAGAAAGTATGTCCACATTCAAACATATAATCTTTCATTTGTCATTTGGTTTGCTCCATAGACATTTATAGAGTGCTTAGATATGCCAGATGCTATGCTGGGTATGTGTGGTTCCATCCAGGAGGACCCAATCATTTACCCTCTGTGTCTCACTTTTCCTAAGTAAAATGAATGAAAGAATCATTTCCATTATATAATGTGCCAAAAAGTGCCAAGAGGTCATGGTCAAATTGAGGAAAGTGTGGAACCACATCCTTGGTATTCCTGGCTTTCTAGTGTCACTCAGGGGCAGGTGTACCTGGTCATTCAGAATCCTTGCTCATTGTTCTTAAGTGGCACTTTCATCACTTGGTAATTTTCTCAGAAAATCTTCCACTCTGCTTTGGCTTGGCCAATACCAACTATCTCAGAGGTGATTTATTCCCTCCAGCACCAAATGGTGCAAATGGCTTAGCATTCTTTGCTACAGTGGTTGTAATTTACTCCCTTAACAGCCACTGTCTTATGGATTTGCTTACACATGCATGGCAAAGGTGGAAAAGCCAGAGAGCTCAGAAAGCTCTGAGCTATGAGAGCTCAGAGATAAGGACTTCCGCATCAATCAGAGCAGCAGCTCTGGATGGGGAGACCATGAGGGGATAGTCTTTCAGCCAGATGGGCCCTGTGCCAACTGGACAGCATCCATCCTGACCTCTCCTCAAGTGCTTGTGGTTTTGTTCCTCAGGCTTTTGTCATTGCCATCACCTCCGACTTTATCCCCCGCCTTGTGTACCAGTACTCCTATAGTCACAATGGGACTCTGCATGGCTTTGTCAACCACACCCTCTCCTTTTTCAACGTCAGTCAGCTGAAGGAAGGAACACAACCTGAAAACTCACAGTTTGACCAGGATGTTCAGTTCTGCAGGTAAAGTAATGATGATGAGGAGGGAGGCAAAGGACCTGAAATGGTAGATCCAAATAATTATCTGGATGACCAAGACTTAGACCATTCTCCTTTCCCTCTGTCTCCTAACCCACCCCCAATTTCTATAAATTAATTTCCATGAATCAACAAATACTTATTGAGTGCCTTTTGTAAGACACCGTGGAGCAGACAAAGAAGTATATAACCTCTTTTTTACCATAAAGGGGTTTATGGTCTGATTAGGAAGAAAACAAGCAGAACATATAGGAAATAGCAAGTTATTCAGTGATTATATCTAGTATGGACCATAAACATTGTAGGTATTTAGAGGAAAGGGAGATCACTGTTGGTTAGAATGGAGAAGGTAGGCTTCCTGGAGGGACCAAGAGGAATTCTAGGACTCTAGGTGGGGAGTCAGCATGAACAAAATCATGGGGGTGGGGATAAATTTGGGGTATTAGATAAACACTTAGGGGGCTAGGTGATGTAGTTAGCAAAGAGTATGCTTAAGAGAATAATATAGGAAATACAATATAGGTAGAAATTCCTAGGATAATATAAGCCAAAAACATTGTTGAACTTGAATAGATAAGATAAAATAGTTGATGGGAAATTTTGAAATCTTATAAGAATTATAGTGTGATATAATAAGATATTGACCTTTTTGGTGACAAGGAATGACAGGATAAAGGGTAGGCTTAGGAAAATTGATCTGGTCTTACTGAGGAAGATAAACTAGAATTGGGGGAACTCAGGGAGGGCAGCTGAACTGCTGCATCATTCAGACATGAGCCATGGTGGGAGCAGACCAGGTGGTGGAGGAGAAAGAGAAAAAATGAGCTATTTTATTAACATATTGCAAAGTTAGTGATAAGACACATTAGAGAGAGTCTGAGTTAAAGATATCACCAAAGTTTGGACTAAAGTCAGAGGACTAGGAAATTGTGGGTTCATTGACAGAGATGGGGATGACGTTGAGTGAATCTAATTTTATGGTACATGTAATAAATTTGATTTCAATCATGTTGCATTGAAAATAATGGCAGGAAGTTTTCACCTAACTCTTAGACCCAAACTGGAATTCCAGAGAGGTCCAGGTTAGAGTTATGATTAAAAGTTTAGCCCTAGCCGGTTTGGCTCAGTGGATAGAGCATCTGCCTGCGGGCTGAAGGGTCCCAGGTTCAATTCCGGTCAAGGGCATGTACCTTGGTTGCAGGCACATCCCCCGTAGTGGGTGTGCAGGAGGCAGCTGATTGATGTTTCTCTCTCATCAACGTTTCTAACTCTCTATCCCTTCTCCCTTCCTCTCTGTAAAAAATCAATAAAATATATATTTAAAAAAATTCTTAAACACAGGGATTATTGAAGCTAAAACCCAGAAAACTCTCCATTATTTATCCAAGAAGGGCAAATAAAGAGAAGAAGATTAAAAAGGACTAAATTATTTAACACTTTTGTACCCTGATGAAATGATAGTCCTCATAAAGGACTTAATCAAAGATCACACTTCATAAATAAAAAATATAGAACAATAACTACAACAAAAATAAAAACCTAGGGAAAGGTATTGTTGGGAAAATATAAGACTTTCTTGGACTATCCCCAGTGGTGTCTGACATAAAAGCTGTCGATGACTCCATCTAAGAAGCAACGTTTCAGCTGTGCTTGCAGCAGTTATAACCCTGGGCATGTCTGTCACGCTTTCCTACCTGAGACAACTTGGTACTGAAGATCAGCCATTTGTAAGATGGTTGCTTCAGTTCAATTTTACAGTCTGAGTCCACAAAAGGGAGAAAATGAATTGGTCTTCCAACCCAAATGGCTGAGTTAAACAACCTTACTAATTTGTGACTTAAATAGAAGGGTATTCTGGACCCAGGACCAGTAACTTCAGCCAACCAAGAAAAGTCTCAAAATCAGAGACCAGATTAAATTTATTCATAGACATCAATTTATATCAGCCTCAATGTTTTAAGAATTTTTATACTTGGGGTTATGGAGACTCTAGCTCTTAGACTAAAGTCATATTACTAGACCATGCACTACCCAGGGCCACTCTTCTGTGTGTTTGGAGTGCCAGACTGTACAGGGTGCTGGATTTTGGTCTGAGGATCCAACAGACATACTTCTACTGCTCAGAGAGGATTTGTACCAGCTCTAGGCCTTTTCTAGTAGCATCTAGATCTGCTCCAGCAGAGTCCATGGAGTCAGTCAACAGGTTTACATTAAATAAGCAGGCACTGAAAAGTGCAAATTATACAATTATTTTTATCACTGGAAGGTACCACAGAAATCATCTTGTTGAAACTCCTCATTCTACATAAAAAGAAACTGGGGCTTAGAAAGTTGAATTCCCCAAGATTACAGAGGTTTCTAGTGACAGATCTTGAGCTAAAATTCATGTCTATCCAAGAACACAAACATCCACACCCATGTGTAGGGGGAGCGGTGGGGAGGGGAGGAACAATACCAGTGTGACTTGTAGTATGTGGAGATAAGGCTAACACTATCTGCTTCTTTAGTTAGTCTAGATAGAAGCACATGTTCGTCCAGAGCACTGAGGTTTGCTGATATTTTCCCTACTATCAGATCTTCCAGTAACACATATGAATATGCTTTCCAGATATATCAGTGGCCTAAACTGCCTTAAACACACAGCGACTTTAATGAACCCCATAGTGAAAGTTGAGGGTAAACCTACTTTTAGGCAAGGTTTGATTCAACCAAGTTTGCTCTAACCAAATCTTTCTCCATCTCCCAAGTCCATTCCAATTGACATTGACTATAGCTTTAAGATCTGCATGACTGCCAGCAGCTACAGGCCAGTGGGATAAAAGCCCATAACTCTTTCCCAATGACCCCAGCAAAAGTTTCACTGCAGCTCATTGATTAGGATCAGTATGCATGCCCTACCCATAGCCAATCACTCTAACCAGAGAAATGCGATACTCTCCATGGCTTTGGGGCCATTGATGTGGGCTTTGGGGGGTGAAATCATCTCCAGCTGAAGCACATGATCTCTGAGGTGGAGGTAGTTCCTTAGTGAGAAGACAAGATGAATGGATACCACTTGGCTAAAACAACACATGCCCAGGACATCAGGTATTAGTATACATGGATCAGATTGAGCTTTATTATATCCACCTTCAGAGTCACAGGATTTTCTAGCCAGTTGTAAGAGCCCAGTAACTCTTCTCTCCATTGTTTCCATGCAAGTAGATGGGATTATGGCTTATCTGTACCCTCCCTTTTTAATTTAAATTCTTTATTGTTTAAAGTATTACATATGTCTCCTTTTTCCCCCGTTGACCTCTTCCCAGCTGTTCCCACCCCCCAGCACATGCCCTCACCCCCCTACTGTTTGTGTCCTTGGGTTATGCTTATATGCATGCATACAAGTCCTTTGGTTGATCTCTTACCCTCCACTCCCCTGCTTTCCCTCTGAGGTTGGATGGTCTGTTTGATGCTTCTATGTCTCTGGATCTATTTTTGTTCATTAGTTTATGTTATTCATTATACTCCACAAATGAGTGAGATCATGTGATATTTATCTTTCTCTGACTAGCTTATTTCGCTTAGCACAATGCTCTCCAGGTCATCCATGCTGTTGCAAATGGTAAAAGTTTCTTCTTTTTTACAGCAGTGTAGTATCCCATTGTGCCCGCCCCCCCCCCCTTTTTTTAAAAAAAATTCTGTGACTGACTGGAAGAATTATTAATAGGTGCATGCATGGGGAGTATATTCTATATTTCTATCAAGAAAATTTATTCACAGAAAATAGATCATTCCAGAATCAAACCAAAATGATTTTTGGAACATCTGATTGTTTTTTTCTTATTCAGTACCAGTGAGGATTATAGGTTCACTAATGCAACTGGTTTTGAAACCTTAATGGCTTGGCATTGGTTATGTGATAGGGAATAAGACACAGTGCCTCCCTGAAGGAGTCTAGATAGAGGAGATGAGTAAGTAAATAAACAATTAAAATATAGTTTTAATCATTTACAATGGTATCACTACAGGGAGCTCTGAGAGTCCTGAGGACAGAGGCCATGCACTTCACTCAGATTTAAGAGGTCAGGGGAAGCTTCAAGGGAGGTGGAATTTGAAGAATGAACAGTAGAAAAGTTGAAACTCCTCATTCATGTGACCAAGCTGGCCTGGGTGGTGAGCGGGATGAGAAGAGCAATGCCGGATGGTAAAGGGGGTGTCCAGGAGAGAAGGAGGTCAAGGGAGAGCAGTGTCTTCCAGGTGGAGGGGTGAGTTTGTGAGTGGTTAGGGCTGGAGAGATAGAGGTCAGTTTTAAGTAGCTCAGAAGGCACATAAGCCAGACCAAGAAGAGCATGTCGATCATTTGGAAGTGTATGGATTCCCTCTTGGGGCAGCACAGAGCCACTGAGGGATTTAAGGGAGCAGTGATGAACTCAAACTTTTCCTTGGTGTTATCTCTATCTGCAGTGTGAAGACTAGTACATTACATTAAAAATAATGAGAGGCCCTACTTCATAAAGTGAGCAGATACCTAGAGAACATGGGCAGCTTATATCTAGACAACCACTATCAAATTGGTATATTTTGAAGGCTAACTTTCCTAGATGGGTAAGAATGTTGATGGAAACCTCTACCCCAAATGGTCCTACTCAATGCATGCTGTGTAACCTTGTTTGGGTCATCAAATTCTCTGGAGATTTAGGAAGTTGAAGTATAAGCTACTAATGTCTTTGTAAGCTAGGAATTGTTGATGGCTACAAAAAAAGTAAAGGAGAGAGAAAGAGAAAATGGAAGGAAGGAAGAGGAAAAGAGGGAGAGACAGGGAAAGATGAGGAATGGAGAAGGGACTATGGGGAGAGAGAGAGAGAGAGAGAGAGAGAGAGAGAGAGAGAGAGAGAGAGAGAGAGAGAGATTATGAGAAACAGAGACAATTCTGTAGCTAGTCCCAAAGCCTGTATTTAAAACTGCTTCCATGGTAGAATTTGATATTTGCCCTGATTTTCTGGCAA